TGTTTACTTAGTTCGTTTAGACCAGGAATAATACCTAAAGTTAATATATTATTTGGTTTAAATCATTCTTCTCTTAGTAAATTATACAATACTCTATAAATTATCTCAGTACTGTGAACTGTATAATTGAATGGTTGAAACCAATCTATATTAATTGCTAGGCTAATATGACTATCAAGTGTATTATTTGTAAAAAATGGTGCAGAATCTTCTAGATTTATAGTGAAATTTTTCTAAATATTTCTCTCATATATGTCAGAAAAAATTCTATTCAGAACATTTCTATTACTAGAATACCACAACATATTCTCAAAGCTAGCCCTCTGATACATCATATAGAGCTGTTACTTTATACTTCCAACTGAATAAATTTTCAATAGTCGTAATAAGATACCATCTATTGTTTTTAGCTTTACTGCTAATAGTTCATTGTATACTGATCATTGTGATTTATTTCGATAATAGGGATATTCTACATTTGTACACTTCATACTTGCTAGCTAATTGTCTTAAACATAGTTTTTAATTACTGATGGGTCATAGAGCTTATGACACTTCAGACATATAGCATACTTTCTATATTTGGTTAAAATCCCTAAAAATGATTTCACAGTATACATAGAAGTCAGTAGCCTATTGGCTTTATCAATTTTAAAATACAAAAATAAATGCCAAAGAAATTTAATTAATGATTCTGTACTAGTATTAGGAATATTGTAATATTGTTGATATTTCATTATCTATAAAGTAATCCAATTATTTAGACAATTGTTATCAATGTCAAATTGTAGTTTAAAAATTTCAAGATCGATTTCTAGTAGAATAAAGTTTACAGGATCATGACTTTCTTGCGAATCATTTGAAGATTCATTTAAAGAATTATTTGAAGAATTATTTGAAGAACTACTTGGAGAAGTATAATCATCTTCTCTAATTATCATTATATTATCTTCATTGGATAAGTTATAAATATCAAATGTATCCTTTTTTTCTGTAGTTGGTTCAATAATCATCTCTTCATCATTATCTATAGGTGCTTTAAATTTTCTTTTTGCTAATCTTCTTGAGGTAGGTATTTGTATATCAAAGTTATCTTTAAGAAATAAATCTATTGTATCAGTACCAGATACTAAATTATCTTCATTTGCATCACTAGTTGTACTTTCATCTTCACTTTCCAATCCTTTACTTTGATTGCTTTCAGAATTATTTTCTTCAGAATTATTTTTTTTAGAATCATTCTCTTCAGAATCACTGTTTTCAGAATTACTATTTTCAGAATCACTGTTTTCGAATTATTGTTTTTGGAATCATTGTTTTTGAAATTATTATCTTCAGAATCATTGTTTTCGGAAGCATTGTTTTCAGAATCATTGTCTTCAGAACTATTGTCTTCAGAATCACTATCTTTAGAACTTTTGCTTAGAAATTCAGAAAGAGGTTCTTCATATTTTGAAGCCAATATTTTGATGTTTATACTTGATGTACCAATATCGAGTAAAGCTATATGATCTTGTTTTGTTCGAGAATTAACATATTTTTTCTCTTTATATTTATTACAATAACATAATACTCATTTAGATGATGATATTTTGATTATATTATTATTTCTTTATTAATGTTTTTTAAAGATTTTAGTAAGAAAATACATAGTGTGAATAGTTGTCTTAAATATATTTTTCATAAATATCTTAGACAAAATAAAGCTTTAGGCTATACTGTAGAATCGATTACTGATTATTCAATAATCAGAGTTAAATCAGAGTTAAAATAAAATTTAACAAGACTCTGGATTATACTGTAGTTTCGATTAGAGATTGTACTCGGTTCAAAATTTGAGCTTCGGGTTACTCACCCATTTAAAATATCATTACCAGGTCACAAACTGGGTCACGTCAAATAACCCGAATGATTTAGTTGACCCAGTTGACCTAGTTATTCATAGATAGCAACTACTAAGATCATGAATAGCAAATGTATTTTTTGCCTAATAAAAATCTTTCGCATTCCCAATTTTTATATTGGCTAGATTTTAACTTAGAACTTTTAAATATGAGCATGCGATTGAGTGGATTCTATTGGATAGATTATCTAATATTACAGAAATTTGCAAAGGAGGATTTGGTTTTGTATAATGATGACAAAAATAATTATACAAGAGTGCATAAAAAATCTAATACTGTTGCACTCAAGACCCTGATCGGTTTTAAGGAAAATAGTTTTAATTTTTTGAAAGAATTTATCAATCACATGACATGCATAACAAACTCGCAATGGAACAGAAGCCTTTAGAAATATTTAAGAAAAATTTGAGACTTACTTAAAAGGCTAAACTGAAAATGCTTAATATTAATTATCTGATATTCACGATTATATAAAGCTACATCTAGGATTGCCTAAAAAGAATTGAAAGTATTTCAGAAAGCTATATTTACAGTGTTATGTCCTATGTTTCTCCAGAGGTTATATGAATTTACATAAACAGTTGATATTTATAGCTTTAGTATTATGATAACTGAGATGTCAACCAAAAGCCTTTGATGGATATGATTCGAATATCGAGATTAATCATGGATTACGACCAGAATTTGCTTCTGGAACTCCTGAAATTATCTTAACAATGTATGAAAAAATGACCTAATGATTATTACATTAATAAAATAATTGATTTGTACAGTGCTTTTCGAAGCTGAGTTTGTTAAAATTGTTTAACCATTTTTTCATACAATTGAATCAACCAGCCAATCTGATGAATGTTTATTTTCACTAATTAATCCAGATCACCCGAGTAGCAGTAGGTTGACCTGGTTAACAGATCTTATATGGGTTACCCGAGTGACTCTTATACAGGTACTATCTCTACATTTAACAGACATCACATGGGTTTAGGGTTAGGGTTTTATTAGCTTCTGGTATATATTTTAGTAAATTGTCACTTGGTGTGATGTCAGCTAAATGAGCTGTCGATGAAATGAAATAACGGATCCAAATCTTCAAGATACGCTCTTTTTTAGTAAATATTAGTAATTTACTATTAAAAATCAAGTCTCAATTTCATTTTGCTAAAAAAAAAAGAGCGTATCTTGACGAGAATTTACCAGAATTTAATGTTTAGGGACATTTTTGAGTCCTGAAAACCTAGAGAACAATCGTATATATTTAAAATAAAATTATCTGGGTCATTACTTAAGATATCTTCGCTTGAAGTTTAATTCACTATTAAATTTTAATTAGGACGATCAAAAGATTTGCATCGGGGTTTCTCAATAAATCACACTGTGGTGCAAGATTATGTGATCCAATTGCGCTATAATTTAGTGATAATCATCGATAAATCAAATAAAAAAAAATTATTTTAAAATAACTTATCGCTAAGAAGATATCTGAACTTTTTTCTTTCAAGTGATGCAAAACTTTTGGCTGCCATTGTAACATCATTAGGATTCTACTGCATTACTAGGTCTAGAATTATGTTACTAAAAGAATTTAGCATAATTCATATTTGCTAAAAAATTTAACATAGTTGCATAGAATAATAAAATCACCAAGTATACGTATACTGTAGCTAACAGTAGCTAACGAGAATTAAAATCTACATTAGTATATTTTCAAAATATACTAAATTAGAGTTATACTCGATCAAAAAAAACATTACCCAGATTTCATAAGACGACTTTCTTCTGATTGGCTGGTGTAAATCAATTGCCTGGGTAACTTATTTATACATTTTAAAGTACTTTTTAAGAACGCAACATTTCACTAACAAAAAAATCACTATAAAAGCAAATTCTAGTTCTAAACGAACGTAGATATTCACTGTTAAAATTAATCCAAAATAATCCACCTCTCTAAGAACTTCACTTAGAAGCGAATATTTTTACTATATACTGCTAATACTAGTTATTATTAACTATATATTAGGTTTTAAATGTCGAAGATTGAAACATTACACGTAAGCTTTAAACTTGGAACTTTGAGTGAACTGTTTAATATGCTATATATTATAATAATAATAGGCTTGTATTAACGTTTACTGTATATTTTACGTTTATAGGGTTATATTACGAGAGTAATAATATACTTTGGGTTAAGTAGTAGTCGATAATATGTATGTGCTATTGTTTTATTAATATTTATATGGGTTAAGGGTTATGTGGATTATGTCACGTTTTTTAATAAAGGCGTGGTAACTTAAAATAAGATAGAATTATTTTAATTACTTTTCAAAATATAATAAAGAATAAAAGATAGCTTCGTTAATAATTTATTCACATTGAATTTTTTGATCGATTTGAGCTTGGGTTTATTAATAATAAATATCAATTTACATGTTATTTAACTATTTCTAAAAACGAGACAAATTTTTTTTACGTACATTATTAATTTGTAAGCTTCTTAATATAAAGCTCCTTTCGTTTTCTAGTATTAAAATGATAAATCTTTTTAAAAATTATGTATTTTGATTGGCTAATTATCACGGGAAATCACGGGTAGATCTACCAATCATATGAATGTCGTCCTATGAGAGGGAGGGCGGGTACCCTCTTAAGAGATGGAAATCACCTGATAAATGTCTATACCCTTAACGAACTTAATTTATTCACTACAAAGAAAATATTTTATAAAAATTATTTAATGAACGTAACTGCTTTTTATTATTAATATTTTTAAAAATAATGATTTTTGAAGGGGAGCTATTAAATAAAAGTCTTCAGTACAAAAATCTAGATATATTGTATCTATTTTATTAAGCAAATACAAGTATAAAAACGAAATATTATAATAAAAAAATTTGTTATATATGCGGAGTAAAAATTTTAGATAATAAAAAAAAGAAAATCAAAAAAAATATAATGAAAAAAAAAACTTTCGAAATAAGAAGAAAAATTTTCAATTTAGCCTGATACCACAAGGTTTTCAAAAAGATTTGACAAATCAACTCATATTAATTTTAATATTTACATTTTGACCCACACTTAAATAGTGGGTTACGCGTCGGTTCAAGAAACGGAATCGGGACTATCCCAATTGCCACAGCCGCCGCACTCTATCTTCATCTCAGTAGGGTACGCTTCACCATTAGGTACTATGGCAGCAAATAAAATAGCAGCAAATACAAAAATAAATCGGTTCATAGTGTTTCTGAAGATAATTCGTATTGGAGAGTTATTATTTTATTAATTTTAATTTTATAGTTTTTAGTTGTTTTTCTGTGTGTTCTTCATGGCCACCACCTTTTTTATAATAAAAAAAAAAAAATCGTCGCGTGATTTTTCTTAAACATTTTTTTTCTGTGAATCAGTCGCAATCTTCTTATTTCAATCTCATTTAGTTTTTTTTCAACATTTTTATGTATTTGGAACTTAACTTTGATGATCGATGATCAAAAAATGTTTCTAACCTTTTTTTGGTCTGATTTTATTATGTCGCTTACCACCACCCCCTTTACTATTTTTAATTAAATTAAATTTAAAAGAACCATTTTAAATGGAATTTCCCGACATCACATGAGGTAAAATTTACTAATAAAATATACCTAAAGCTAACTAAATGCTAAATTGTCACCCAATGTGATATCGGGTAAATGGACTGTCGGGTAGGTAGTTTTCGGGGAATTGAGCGACAATGCAAATTAATGCTATATTTTTCTTATTAAAAGATTATTTATGGGTTTAGGGCAAATTATTCATTTTAAATTGTTCTAATCGAATATTAATCTCATGTCATCAAGTGAAATTTTGTACCATCGCGACTTGTGATTTGGAATATCGTATTTTCCCTAATTATATCATACATATTGTTGTACAATTTCGACGCTAGAAGGATTTGAAATATGAAATCCTTAAATTTGATTTATATTAGTCATTAAATATGCTGATTCTTAAAAGATAAATAGATCTAGATCTTACAAACTTGTAGTGGTCGTACCCTAGGGTACAATAACCGGTTAACTGTTAGGTTATCCGGATACCCGAATTATAAAATTGATAAAAACTTGTCTACATCATAAATTTATTTTAAATAATTGTTTATTATATTTATTTAATAGGATATAAATCAATTGCGCTTTAAATTTGTACTGGCTTTCAGTTTTTTGTAAGTATAATATAATTATTATATTATATATATGAATATTGTAAGTACTTACTTACTTTATGTTTCTAATACATGCTTTACACAGTACAGAATACAATAAGAAAAATGCAAGTTGAACGTTGCGTGATAATCTATACTATTGTTGTTCCACATCATTTCTGAATATGCATTCTTTCACGATTTTCACCAGGTATGCAGATCATGGGACCACAGCAATGTAATAAATTACTGATAAGTACTATTTATTCCCCGCTTCGCGGGGAATAATGAAATATTTCCCCGGATTTTTTCGGCTCTCGATAGGAGCCGAAGAGAAAAAATCCGGATATTATTCCCTCGTAGCGGGGAATAAATGAGTTATTCTCCCGTTTTATTACAGCTGATTTCAAAAAGGTGTGAACGACCAGGGATCACCATATCATGTGAAATTCACGATATTTCCCAAATTTCCTACTTTTTTTTACTTTCTAACAGAGAAAGATTCTCACCAATTTCCCAATAGAAATAGTTTTTATAGTTCAATAAAATAATACTATTCTAAGTTAAAGGTAAATTTTAATAGGTGAATTAAGAAATTTTTAATAAATTCCTAAAAACGGTAGTCATCTTGAGTCTTGCAACATTTATACATGTTATATGATTTTGCTTTATGCAGTATCAACTATTGATCAATTAAAAATTATAATGTTTTAACGTATCTCTTAGAGTTGCTGAATGATTTGTTTTTTGATTGTATTCAATCTTGATAGCCAATTAATGCATCATGAACAAAGTGAAAAATTAAAAGAATCTTTTAGAGTTACTTAATAATTATAATGCAATATATATTTCTCGAGCAAAAGAAACTTGATCTTCTGTCCAATTGGGCGTAAAAATTCGTGTATACGCATATTTGACAGCTTCAGTTCGATTGCCTCTATGAGTGGTTTTGTAATATCACATTTGAATTTTTGTGTTTGCAAATAAACTGCACAGTATAAACACTTTCGACAACTAAAGCAAGTCCCTCTTTTGTATATAAGTTTTGTATCTAGTGCATCCGCCATCAATATTAATACGATTATAAAAACAAAACAATATACATAGCAATAATTTGTTTATATAGCGATAAAGATAATGATTAGAAAAGGGTATCACGCACTTATCAGTACGAGGTGCTTAATTGCTACATGGTTAATAATATAACTGATAAAAATTACAACGGACGTCATTAATTATCTAACCTAAAATATGTGTTGATTAAGCATCTCGCATATATTTTTCTTTTTAGCAAAGTGTAATATACTGTATAGACCATATTGATATACAGTATATTTGACGTGTCTCTTATCGGGGTTTTACTAATTTACACTCAACTTCTAATTGGCTGTACTAATTATTTACATAGTACTCTGATAGTGAAGTTGAAGGAGAAGTTAGGGCACCTCTCTTCCTGTGCTAAATTTTTTATATAACATTAGGGAGGATTTACTAAATTTTTTATAGGGAGGATTTTTAAAATTAAATTACAGTTTCAATTAAGCTTTTTATCTATGATTATTTTAATTAAGCTTCTTATTTATGATTATTTTGGTTCAATTATTACAGTTTAAATTAAACTTCTTATTTATAATTTTTTTTAATAAAGATAATAATTAAGCTAGATCTCTTTTAAGCATTTTGAATCAATTAATAAAAATTGGACCCAGATAAGAAATTGCTACTATAGTTACTCGAAATATTGATCGATATAGCAATAGTAACTAATTTTATCTGACATGTCTTATCATTTTTCATGTAACCTATTCGATCACCTCCTAATACAATATAAATTTGCATATTTATATTTGGAGATGACTGAATAAGTATACAAAATTATTTAATGCTTACGTCAGACATGTCAGTTAGTATTTCGGGTAAAACCCAATTTTGCATATCAAAATTGGGTGAAACTAGGTTCAGAATTATAGGGCAAAACTAAAAAGTATGTTCGCCCGAAACACTATTATCAGTCATTTTAGATGATAATTGATTGCTTCACAATACAACGAATACTGCGTTATGACTAAACATCATAAACATATTATCCTAGCGAATATTTAGTTATTATATTCTGAATAGTTAAAAATAATTCAGAACAGAGAATCTGTTAGATATTTTTAATTATATATTCAATCACTACAAAATGAAATAGGTCTATTATTTTTGTGGTTATCATAATCTATTTTTAGAATTTAGAGTTATTTTAAAGTGTAATTAGCTTTTGATAAGATTTAAACTTATATATTTTAAAAAAAGACTCTAAATTTTACTAATTTTACAAAAATTTATAACAATTATTGTAATCTATGATTTTGATATATTATTATTAATAACAAAACAGAATTTATGATAATCTAATAGATGTATATTTTTTTTTAAATTAAGCACAAATCTTATTTTCTTTTTAATTAAGTTTCTAATACTCTTATTTTTGCTATCAATTAATTTTTAAAACTTGAATGAAACAGAGTTTGTCTTGAAATATTAATAAAATTTTTGCAAATATTTTTTTTATAAAATTAGCTATTTTTAGTTCATATATCTTTTAGATTGTAGACTAACACAAGCAAATTTGCTTGTATTTTTGTATCAGTATTTCAAAGTAAACTTGTTTAATTTAGGTTTTAAAGATATAATTTATTAAGCAATTTGATAAAATTTTTAAAAGATTAAAACTTTAATTATTACAACTTTTGTAATTTACTTATAAAAATTTATACTTGTATTAGAAGTAAAAATTATTTTTAGCTTTGTTTATATATATAATTTAAAAAAATTTAATTAAAAATTTTATAGTAAAAATTTTTAAAGTAAAACTTTAAAGATTTATTATTCAAAACTTTTTTAATAATTTTAAAAAAATTTCTTAATAAAGATATTAAAATAGATATTAAAAAATATATTTTATTTAGAAAGTATATATTTAAAATTAATATTTAAAATTTTATTTAAAGAATAAATCTATTTGTCACTAGTAGTAATATTTTTAAACTAATTATACTAATGAAAATGCAAGATTAAGTATAATATTATATCTGATCGTATAATGTAAAAACAAAACAAAATATTGCTATTTTTTAAAAAATTATAATAACTAAAAATTATTCATATGAAACCACCTTTTGTGTTTTAACAAAAAAAATTCCTTGTAAAATTTTACTATAATTAAGTCTTTGCTAATCTTAACTCTAATCCTAACTAAGCTCTAACTCTAAAGTCAATAAATCAAAATATATTTATATTGTTATAATTGTTTTAATTTTATATTATACAAATGACTATTACTACTAGTAATAAGCATATTTTTTCTTATTTAAAAATTATAAAAATTAAAAATGAATATAGGCAGATTTGCTTGTATTACAAATTAAAAGATAACTATAAATTTTTTTTTTATAATATAAAAACAATACTGCAAAAAGATAATTTTTATTTATTTATTTTTTTATTTTATTTTATTTTTTTTTACTTGATAAATATGCTATCAGTGAGATTATTATTGGTATAGATAGTTTTGAGCAATGATTATATATGTGAGAGTACAACTAGCTATATGTATAACTTTAGATTGTCTAATTTAAATAGTTCGTCTGAAGGTTCTACACTAGCTACTATATCTAAAATTATTTGAAAATTCTCTATTTAAACTCTCTAGCTATATGCTATTTCTATTCTACTATCATTTATTACCTAAATTCATTTAACCTTATACTACTTCTATTTTCAAAAGATATCAACAGAGCTAACATGAATTCACAAACTTTATGATTCAAAGCCTAGGCCCATCTCAAATACCCTTTTACTAACTTCCTAATCAATAAGTGCTGTAGTATCCAAATATGCTATGCTATATCCTAATATAGCTTGCATATACTCTTGTTCGATATTTGTATAAACCTAGTTCCTACTGTAGTTTTCTACTAAGTTAGTCATCTGTGCCTCCAGATATCATATGAGATAGGCTCTCTCAAATCTGGTTACTACTCAGATTAGTATTACCAAAAGTTATTTATACCTCTAGATATCATACAAAACAGATCTTCCTAAATTCAGTTAGCTGCTAAGCCAAGTTGGTGTTGCTATACAATCTTATGTAATAGACTTATACATATCTATTCTACTGATCTTTTTGTATGTAGTTCCTAATGGATTTATTAGCATTCTAGTTGCTAATCTTTTTATATGTAGATTTTTTTTTTCAGATCAAATGTTAACTGGTATTACTGTTGAAATTTGTACTACTTCATCTAACTTGAAATTTCTACCATACAGGTTTCCTGCTCATAGATCTTATCAAGATTTATTCATATAATATTACACTTTTCCAAATACCTTGTCACATTTCTAATATCCTAATTGGCATTAGTACAATGTAATTTATAGGGTTACAACTCCAGAAATAAGCAGAATTTATCATAAGTTAGATACAGATGTCTAGGTAATTATTCAATTTTGTTGACAATAGGATTTGAACCCTAGACCTCTTATATAGTAGTCCAGCAACCTAACCACTATACTAAGATCACTAGACCTAATTCTTATTTTTAAATTTTATTATCTATAATTATTTTTTTAATATTTTTGTATTTTTTTTTTTTTTTAATTTGCTTGTATTAGTTTACAATTTAAAAAATAAGTAGATTTATTTAAGTAAAATAGTATATATTTTATTTTTTTAT